AATAACCAATATAACAGCACTGGGAATAAGTTCCAATTCTTCCATGGTCTTAGTGTCAAATTCAGTTGTTAATTCACGTTTAGGATAGTTGGTAGATAGAACGAAAGTTTTAATACCCGTTCCCGGCAACAATTCATTCTTAACATAAGCACGCACTTCGGAAAGTGTAACTGTTCGCTTAAACACCTGATTCTTATTCTCACCATTAGGAATACGGAATTGTATACGTGTAGAGTCAATCCCTACACTGGAGGTTGAAGCAGCTTGCGAAGTGGTAGGTTCAGAAGGAGTTGGTTTGGGTATGTCTGCAGTAAACTTCTGTGCACGTTCTGCACGATCAGCAGCAATTTGTGCGCGAATACGTTCACGTGCAGCTTGTTCTTCCAAACGATCGCGACGTATATTCTCCTAAAGGCAAATAATGTATAGTTAAGTTTTTACTTAATTATTAAAGAGAATAAACCACGTAAAAAAACTTAAACAACATACCTTCATTTCTTTCAACTCCTGATCTCTTTGCCACTCCTGTAAATTTTGCATAACCTTACCCTCCTTCCTGCGACGCAGTTCACGTTCCTTTTCCAAAATGTTTTCTTCTTCAATACGTTTCTTACGCTGTTCCTCCATTGTTTTTCTGGTTTCGGCAAGGCGTGCATTGACATCAGTTAAAATAGCTTCGTCATTATTTGAAGTCGTTGGATCATCTTGACTTGGTGTGTTTCCTGCTGCTTCCCGTTCATCCGTTTTCTCTTTCAATTTCTTGTAGCAAACATCACCATCACATATTATTTCATATTCTTTATCACCTTCTGCAGATTTAGTTGACTTTGTCTTAACCATATTTTCTTCATTTACAACACAAGCCGCTCCACTAACATCGGTACATTCAGTTATCTCCGCTGCAGTTGAGACATTTTCAGGTATAACCGGTTCTTCTACAACATGCTCTAGAATATCTTCAACACTATTCTTTGTCACCAAGTCTTTAGCTGCCGTGTTAGATGCTGCAGGAATGCTTGCCTCAATATGTGCTTGTTCGGCCTCAATCAGTGAAGTCGATGCAGAAGTTACTTTCCCAGAAATTTGCAAAACATTAATAATCTTATCATCCAACTCATTTACGGACGAAATAATGCCAGTGCCGATATCCAATGGTGTACCAGTTTGACCAATAAAAAATAATGATGGTATAGGAACAACTTTGTCTATATTGTATTATATAAGACAAATTTCAAAAGTTTATAGAAATAATAATTATTTAACAAGCCTTGTTTACTTACACACGGAAGCGAACTGCATATACTCTTGAGTTTCGCTCTCTATTTTGATAGCAATGAAATTATCAGTTTCCAACTTGCCGCGAATTTTTTCATCATTTAAGAATTCTGTAATTCTTTGCGAAGCCTCATCTTTACCTAAAAACGAAATTCAATATTTTTATTGTAAAATATATTTTAAATATACGTGGCCTGTTAGTTTTGCATGTTTTCATGTTTAATTTCATCACCTACCTTCAACGTAAACGACGAAAATTGCATTTTTGGTCTTGGATTTCTGGATCGCCTCCGGTATGCTTCCTTGGTACCAATTCATATTAAGACAATATTATAAGCGTCTTAATATGTTTTTGTAAGACTACTAACTAAAAATTTAACTATTTGAAGGGATACAAGTTTAACCAAATTAAATGGAAACTTCACTTATATTTTAGTTTTCATTATTTGACAGCTGACTAAAAACATTGAAAGAAATAAGGAAATTAAACAGAGTTGTATTTGAAAAATATGTAGGTTACTGCCACTTAAAAAAAAACACACATAAAAAACATAGAAAACGAAGTTGAATGCAATAGTAGTACATTCGCACTGTCTCATATAGGCACTTGTTAATTTCTATTAATTAGGAAACGTTCACATTATAATAAGCTTATTTCTGCAGCTGATAAAAGTTTATAAACTCGAACTCGCATATGGACTTAATAATATATTACATAAAAAAATTAAATAGAAAATTGATAAATTAAATCATATATATACATTTTATCGGACCTATTCTGTGCACTTTATAAAATTGTCAAACATTGACACTTGTCAAAATTGACTGCTGTAAAGGTTTTGGTATTCTGTGACATAAATAAAAAGCTCTTTTTTTAACTAAAATATACGCTCCTTACAAGCATTTTTTTTATTGTGATTTGAATACATGAAAAATGCTTTCGACAATTTAAAATATATGCTCTTTTTTACGAACAGTTACGAACAATTACGAACAATTTTATATACAAAACACTTTACACCATAGTGTGGTGAGAAGCATTAGGTACTTGAGCTTTGAAATTTGTCAAAATATGTCCAGAATACCAAAACGCTTTTTGCTTTATAAAAATCAAAAATTTTATTAAAGAATTCAAATCTGTCAAGTGCACAGAATAGGTCCGTATATATCAATTACATTTACATTTAATTAAGAAAAACAAAGATTTTATAAAAATTTACTTCCTCAGTGCCTTTGTTTACAGCTCAGCTGTTGTTTGTTTATATTTTACAAATTTTTGTTTATATTTTACAAATGAAGTATATGACAAATATTTCAACTTTTGTTAATTTCGACAATTTTCGCCTTAAATAAGCTGTTTTATTGATAATAAGCTTATTTATATGAAAGATGTTTGTATAGTAAATCATCATCATTAGTGGTTATAGTGTGCAAAACGGCTTAAATGAGACAATGTGAATGTGCTATTATATCGAGTTATATTAGGCCTTTTCTTTTGTAAGCATATTACAAAAGAACTGCCTATTTTAAATATAACATATGAAACAACAACACCGCCGGCTTATATAATCCAATCTTTTTGAAACCGCTTAACTAATAAGCAGCTCAAATCGCATGGTTGTCAACACTAAAAATTCGTCCATTGTGAACGTTTTTTGGAAGTACACACAAAATTTCCAGTTAACTGTCAACGAATGATTTCGGAAATTATTCGTATTTCGTGTCGTCATTGTTCCTAAAAAATACGTTATTTTTTCTATTTATTATTTTACTGCAAAAGGCATGAAAAATTATATTATTCACAATCATGAAAAAAAAAATATTGTCAGCAATAATTACAAAGAATTATTATTCATTTTCGAAATTTCAACTTTGTGATAACTCCAATGTTTGATTTTGGAGACATACTCTCCACTGGTACAGATAAACAGATAGTTTGACGTGAGTCAAATTCGTTCCGTCAAGACTATATAGCAATAAGAGTAATAGGTGTGAAGTGTAATTAACTCTTTCATTTAGTGCCTGGGGAGTTGAGGAAGGGAAGAGACAATTACTAAAGTCAATAAACAATAAATTAATACAGATTAAGACGGGTGTTTTAAAAAATTGTCTTTGTGAAGAAGTAGATTGCATATGTAGGACTAAATATTATTATTATTCTTGAAAGGGTACTTGCTATTAGACTCTTTAGCAACTAAAATAGAATTACTTTGTTGACATCAAAATCGTTCTATCCTCCAATCCAACCCTTTTTCTTCTCCCCCTACTTTCAACAATCATCCTTCCATATCCTAATCCACAACAACAACAAGATTTTGTTCAAAGAATTACTTATGGAGAGTGATTTCAACAGCATTACATGACATTAAATTAAAAAACGGAATCCTGGAATAGCTCATGACTCTTTGGTTCCAAGAACTGCCGAGTCTACATTCCGGAGTCATTCGTTGAGTTCGGCTCCTACTCGTTGAGTTCAGTATTCCTAAAAAGAGCTATACAGCCAGACAACAACAACAATGGAGTCTTAATAAGAATTGCAACCATTATCGATGTTATTTTATAGGCTGATCGACAATGATATATTAATAACAAAAAGATCGCACATTTTGAGTAAATAACTATAAATACTGTGTGAAAACACAGTCTTACGAATTGCAACCGGCTGCCATCGTATGTCGCATGTTGACCATCTTCATGCGGAATCGAAGTTTCTTCTTGTAAAAGAACACAACCAACTGCTGTCCAAGCAATTTCTACTCGCGTGCCACACAGATGGACATCCCAACGGCGATCCAACCTTTAATAATCATATCGACCAATATTGCAATGGAGCTAACATCAGTGAGATCGAGTACAAACGTGGACTAAAAGCACTCCACACCAATGCAATATCTTCTTCGAGACCTAGGTTGACTCCCAACAAGGTCCTCAATAGGCCTCCGCCTAACATTTTCCAGGATGAACGTAGTCTTCCTCGTGCAGCAAGAACTGTCCTTGCTCAATTGAGATCAGGATATAGCCATGTGCTGAACAGTTACTTGTCACGTATAAACACGTCCATTCCTAATGTGTGCCCAAATTGCAGCTCCATCCCCCCCGATGTCCCCATCTGTTTTCGTGTCCCAATGCAGACACTAATTTAAGTCCTATCGACCGTTGGACTCGTCCCTTGAGGTAGCTAGGTTTCATCGGCCGAGTCCTGGTTAGTTTCAAATTATACCACCCCTTCCTTTATCCTCTTCACCATATCCCCCTCTATCCACTCCCTTACCCATGTATTCGTATTGTAATCCTTACATGTTATCTGCTTTCAGATCCCAGTGGGTTACAACAACAATAACAATATAAATACTATAAAACATTTTCAATAATAATTTTTATTCCATACAATATGTTCTATCGATTATAATAGCTAATTTTTTTATGTATTCTCTGATTCATTAATCACATTCACAGAGTTCGATTAAAAAACATAACAGAAGTATAAAATGACGTCTGATTCTTATCAGAAGGGGGCGGCATGCTATCTCTAATTAGATTAGCAATTGGGGGAATTGATGACAATATTCACAACACATTTTAATGATTTATTTTGATATTTGACAGATTGAGACATTTAAAACAATTTATTAAATAATAAATTATAACAACCTTAATTCATCACTGCTAATATCGCCGGAATACATACAACACCAAAGCACCTTTCCAGAATTAAAACTACTTGCTTTTATGTTAAATGGCCACTGATGGCACTAAAGTTTATTACAGAATTACGTATGTTACACAAATTTGCTTATATCGCTATTAAGGACATTAGTTTATATTTTTAAATGTAAAAGTGATATTTATGCACTTATTTTGCTTATGTTTTTCCATTACTAAACAGTACAAATAGTGCAATTAACAAAAGGATATTTTTAACCTCATTTTTATTTAATAAAGCTTCACACCACCAATTTTGTACATTTTTTTTCAGGGCAGTAAAAATGACTTAAATTTTAATGTAAAATTCCATATATGGTGTGGCTGTTCCTATATGTTGGCTGGTGCCGTATCTGAAAGAAGCGTCACTTAATTATTTACAAAAATTGTTGAAGTAGCCAATATTTACCCTCGCTGACTGAGCTTATATTGCTTATTGTTGATAATGCTGGCGATATACTATTAATATAGATTTTTGGTACTCTAACGCGCAAACGTTTAATCTTGTAACCGCTGTGTTTCGACAATGACAGATTCAGCAAGTACTCACTATTAATTTTCTTGAGACGAACTGCGCATTTACGGATCCGTAAATCAGTTATAATATCCTGAATTTGATCCAATTGTTCGTTGACGTAAGACATCCTATCCAATTTAACAGTCAACTTCCTCATTTTTCTTGGAAGTGGTTTATCAACTTACAAAAATAGCGTTTTCCTTTCAAATTCCTTTAGCCCTTCTTTCGTTGTGTTTTGTGACGCCAAACTGTTTTTTACTGAAGTTGATAAAGTTTATGATATGAAAACGCAGAAGTTGTCAAAAAAATTTCGCGACAGGGTTGCATTTTACTCAAAGTTATTCTAAATATTTATATTTGTTAAACAATCACATATAATAGATTTGTTCCACTAACTACTCGTAGTAAAACTCGAGTAAAGTAAAAACTAAGAGCATAACACAAATACAATGCCAGTGTATGCAATGTTCAGACACACCCTTATTTCGCAAAAATTTTAATTTCATTTTCATTTCAGCGAAATTAAGTCTTAAGGTAAGAACGATATTAAAGAAAGTGGCGTTAAAACGAAAGCTGAAATTAAGGGACATTTCAAATGCAATTATGCGTAGGATAAATTTTAAGCAAAAGATAATGTTGAGATAACGAAAAAGTGACATTTTTTTATATAAATGTCAATGACAGTTGATTTTAATAAAACCGATCAAATATTTTGAAAGTAGTGCAAATTTTTAAATTTGAATAAAGAAAAAAAACTAAATCCACTAAAGCTAATAAAACTACTGAATGCCATCGTTTATAGTTATAATAATCTACTTTTAAAATTTCCCAGATACAAATGATGTTTGGAGCATAATTTTTAACATTCGATTTGTATCCAAAATCATATTATTTCCTTAATTTCATTTTTACCAAATTAAGGATATTAGGCATGATATTGCGCTCTTTACACAAGTTTTCATGGAACAACCTTGTGAATTTGAAAAATAAGAGCGGAGAAATAAAATTTAAAAAACAAAAAAAGTTTCATAATAGTAAGTGCAAATATTTTTGAATGCTTTCTGTTTTAAAAAAGTGAGTTAGAATTTCGTTTACAGATAGGATTATACGGCGTTTACATTGGCCGAAAATGGCTCATTTTGGTCAAAAATCGAAAATGAGTATCGAATGGCTCATTCTTGCATATAAAATTTCAAGCACAAAAATGAGCAATTTTCTCACATTCTGTATGAATGACGTTCGAATGCATTCCACATATGTTCCAAATGCAAGGGAATCTATTGAACATACCCTAAATGAAAGCTCTTCATGGCATTTTGACAGTTTGAAAAAGCTGTTTTGACATATTTACAAAAAAAGATAAACAAATGTTTGGTGGTTGCATTTTCTTTAAAACGATGCACCAATTTTTGGAACTTCTACTTCCCAAAAATAAATAAATCGAATCTAGAAACAAGTTTTTAGTTTATATTGTAAGGTTTGAAGGTATATTTAACCTTCCTGTAACATTTTTTTTGGCACAGGCCAAAAATTAAATCAACATGCAAGTTGAAAAATCAGCTGTTTGAAATGAGAAAAAATTAAATACAACGAATGTAAACACTTTCAAATGACTCATACAGAATGAGCCATTTTCAGCCAGTGTAAACGCCATATTAGAACGCCTTAGAATTCATAAAATTTTATTTTATGTTATTTTTACAGACATAATGAAGGAAAGAAAAATTTTTGTGCCATATTCACCAACAACTTTTCTGCAATTACAAAACAATAAAAAATTGTGTTTACACATTGTAAATTGCAATTATTTAATATATTTTCTAATAGATCATGAATTTGTGAATGAGGTATCGCAAAGATTTGTTGCTTAAGAGGGGAATTTTATAATAAAAGAATTAAAAAGACTTTGCGAGGTTTGAAATGACTTTTGATTACCTTGTTCTCTTATATCGAAACAACATGATATGTAATTTTATAGTTTCTTTTTTCCTTTATATAATCATAAATTAACCGATTCTAAATCATCATTATAGTCACTATCTCGAAATATATTATTTATTTTTTATTCTGGCTGTGTTGTAAAACTTAGTTTACTTAACAAAATACTTATTATGTTTTTATCCATTTTACTACTTATTTTTAATAGTTGGTACAATTAAAGTTTCAGAATTTTTTTACTTTCACCAGTGCCCCGCAAATAAACAATTCGAAAATTTAAATTCAAACCAAAACAGCTGATTCACACATAAATAAAAGTTTTGTTTGAAATAAAATAGGTTTGTTCCACAAACTACTCATAGTAACTTTGAGTAATACGGCGTTTACATTGGCCGAAAATGCCTCATTTTGGTCAAAAATCGAAAATGAGTATCGAATGGCTCATTCTTGCATATAAAATTTCAAGCACAAAAATGAGCAATTTTCTCACATTCTGTATGACGTTCGAATGCATTCCACATACGTTCCAAATGCAAAGGAATCCATTGAACATACCCTAAATGAAAGCTCTTCATGGCATTTTGACAGTTTGAAAAAGCTGTTTTGACATATTTACAAAAAAAGGTAAAAAAATGTTTGGTGGTTGCATTTTCTTTAAAACGATGCACCAATTTTTGGAACTTCTACTTCCCAAAAATAAATAAATCGAATCTAGAAACAAGTTTTCAGTTTATATTGTAAGGTTTGAAGGTATATTTAACCTTCCTGTAACATTTTTTTGGCACAGA